AAAGATTAAATCATGTAAAAAAAATAAGTTTTATTTAAAAAGGGAGATACAAACAAAATTGTACAAGTCAGTAGAGAACTTGAAATATTTACACGTTATACACGTTGCAATTTTTATATTACATACATTACCGTCTACTAGATGATCAAGATTTATATTTTTTAGACTTTCTTCTATCGATAGATTCAAAAGATCCTGATATTTTATCTTTTTGTCGTTCCCTATCTCTTCCTTTGTGTTTCTTGGATTTTTTTGTCCTTTTAGTCCTATCGCTACTACTGGAACGCTTTCGAGTTTTATTTCTTTTCTTATTGTTGCTACGGGTATCACTACTACTATCGCTATCAAATGAATCTCTTCGATGGGTTTCTGATTTTTTACTCAATTTCTTAGACTTGTATTCACGATCGTTTTCTTTGTGTTTTCTTTTCTTCTTAGGAATATCTGAATCGCTGTTATTGCTAAAATTTTCTAATGACGCAGATTTTTCTTTACTCGTCTACAATAGGGTTCGTAAGCTTAACATAAACGTAAACATAAGAAATCCGCATTGTCTACAATAGCCCATAAACGTAACGTAACATAATAAATCGTAAACTCTTATTTGAGTATTCTAACCTCTGTACTATATAAGATTTTATACAATTTTCAAAAGATCCTGATATTTTATCTTTTTGTCGTTCCCTATCTCTTCCTTTGTGTTTCTTGGATTTTTTTGTCCTTTTAGTCCTATCGCTACTACTGGAACGCTTTCGAGTTTTATTTCTTTTCTTATTGTTGCTACGGGTATCACTACTACTATCGCTATCAAATGAATCTCTTCGATGGGTTTCTGATTTTTTACTCAATTTCTTAGACTTGTATTCACGATCGTTTTCTTTGTGTTTTCTTTTCTTCTTAGGAATATCTGAATCGCTGTTATTGCTAAAATTTTCTAATGACGCAGATTTTTCTTTACTTATACATTCCTTTTTTTTATGTTCTTCGTATTTAACAGCATCTGAAATTAATTTCACCGAATACTAAAGACTAAAACTGTAATAATTTCATACAAGTGAATGAATTGTGAATAGCAGGAACTTTTAAAAAGTGTCAAATATATAATTAAATATGTATTATCTCCTTATATATGTGTATATATCAATATATATCATATATATAAAGTTTTGACTAGACTGAAAATTCAAATCCTTAAAATCTTACAACTTCCAATTGTAATCAATCGTTAATTTAATAAACCTTACAAATTACCTGTTTATAAATACAAAAATTGTAAAATTTTATACAATTACTGAAATTTAAAATTTTTGTACACATTTTAAAAGTCCCTAAAGAGATAACTCATTTCATTTACTAACTGAGAACTTTAGAATTTTGTGAGTATTCCGCCTTTGTTACTACTTGAACTATGCATTCGTTCACAGAGATGGTATGTCCGTTTAGTGCCATTTTAACGATTAATCTTCCTGCATTATCAAAACCTTCTATTTGGCCATATGCATTGGACCGCTTGGCAGCAATAATTTTTATAAAACTTCCTTTTTGTATTCCTTTCTGTAACTCTTTTCCCTCTTTTTGAGTTTTCCCATCCTGTTTTTGCAATGCTGCTTTGTCTGCACCAAGTCCCATTCCTATGGGCCTTAATTCAGGTACAATAGGTGTTACAAGCCTGTCAAGTACATACAAAATGTGAAAATACAAACAAAATATATATAAATGTAAAAGAAATAAATATACTCTGTATCAGAAAATATATGCTGAAATAAAAATTTGGTAACATTCACTCACTCTCGATCCAGAAAAAAAAGGTCTTACCTTGGATTTTTACCAATTCCTTCACCAGGTTTCCATCCCATACCTCGTAACATAGCTGAACCAAAAATATTTAGCGGAACCTTCTCGTAATCTTCTAATGTACTCTATTTAGAAAAAAAGCATTGTATAAAATAGTTTTTAAAATACTATTAAGTGAAAATTGTAGAGATTAAATATGCATAAGTGAAACATGCCATATTCAGTTAAGGCAGTTCTTTGTATCTAATAATATTTCTTGTCAATCCGTATAATTTTCAATTTTATTTTATATTTTATTTTCCTATAATATTTAAAATATGAATCTAAATCATGTCATTAACAATCATAAAGAGGTACTCACTTCTTCTGCACCTTCTAAATTCTCTCTTTTAACTAAAGATAACGTTATATCATACAAATCATCTTTATTTTTTTCTGTTACATTGAGATCTTCTATAATTTCTTTAACTGCTTGCTCATCCAAAGTAAGAATTTTACTTTCAACAGGCAAATCTGTTTTTATTTGCACATTAGAGGAAGAAACAATCCTATTAATCAATGTTAAATCACCATTGGATACTTGGTCTGATTCTTCCTTGATTTTAACTTTTCTTTGCCTATCGTCATTACTTGTTTTTGACTTTAAAGCATCTATTTTATTAACGATTCTATCGTGCCAGGTATTAGATTCCAATAATGGAATAATAAGAGGTTCTTCTTTTTTCTCTTCCTTCCTAAACAAATATATTTGATAACAATTGTTTAATTAAATTACGATATTTCAAAGTAGTAGTTAGTAGTTTTATTTATATATATATGGTTAAATAAAGATGAAGGTTACAGACGCAGTTTTGTTACAATGAATAAACTTTCTCAACTTACCCAATCACTTTAATCGCTTTATCATCTAGACATTCGATATAATCTACTTTTTTGTCTTGATGTAACTTTTGTTTGTCTAAAATTGGCTTTTTTACAGACTTTGCAAAACCGAAAGAAATTTTTTTGCTCTCTTCAGCCATTTTCGTATAACTTTATTGTATTATAAAAAGTTGTCTCTCGTAATTGTTTTCTGTGAGATACATATATGTTTTATATAATATCGTTAAAAATTTTTTTCTTCTGTCAACGCAGACACAGTAAGTTAATGTTGTATTTTGACTTGCTACAGAGAAAATACAGAGAAAAAACAAACGCGTTAGGTTTGTATGTATGTACAATTTCACGCAGCGAAGCTTTGCTTAGCCATAGCTTATAATTATTGAAGTGAGTAGACTCGAACACGTATAGCGTCGATACGGCCAGTATCGAAAATGGCCACTATGGCACCGTGTATAAACCTGGATCTACAATTAAACTTTAAGTCGTAAGAAATTAACCAATTACAGTCGAATTCGAGGAGAATAATCGACTATGATTTGTCCATTTCTTATGACTTAAGGCTTAAAACTCTATGTAGAATGTAGATCCGGGGTAGAGCCCAGACACAAGCTTTTGCATAAAGGTACAATTTCATGATGACGCTTGACGCTTATTTTTAGGGTCAAAATAGATCACGTGATACAAATTGACAAATATTAAGCATCAATTTTGATCACGTGATCTGTTTTGACGCTAAAAATAAGAGCCCCAACACACACTTTTGCATAACGCATAAAGCATGTGCATAAGGAATTTCATTGGCCCATTTTCTTATGCATGAGTCAATGGACCAATCAAATTCTTTATGTATATGGTTTATGCGTTATGCAAAAGTCTGTGCTCCCCGCTTAAGCGTCAAGCGTCAGCATGAAATTGTACCTTAAGGTACATTTTCACGATGTCGCTCGACGCTCATTTTCTGTCTAGTTTTCTGGCTGGGCATAATACCAGTTGTTTTCAACTGTGATTGGCCAATTTCTTACGACAACGGTTCCTTACCGCAAAATGTATTTGCGCCGAAAGTACGTCATCTAGCTTACATAAAATTCTTAACCAATAGTAACGAATTGCTGCTGCAGCGTGCTGCGCATGAAAAAGTACCTTAAGACCTGTTCTTTTTACTGAACTGGTGCACAGAGTGCAATAAGTTGAAGTGAAACAAATATACGTTTATTTCACTTCAACTTCATAGACCTGTTCTTTTTGCCTGCACTGTCTGAACTGGTATGTACGTACATACAGTGCAATAAGTTGAAATGAAACAAACGTATATCTGTTTCACTTCAACTTATTAAGCCTTGTGTCCACGATGCTAGAAATCGGTCCGAGATCTCGGATGAAGAAAGAATTAACAAATCACATTTGAACAATTTGGTCACATGACCAATGTAATTGGTTAATTTTTCCTTCATCCAAGATCTCGAACCGATTTCTAGTATCGTGGACACAAGGCTTTACACTCTGTGTACCAGTTCGGTAAAAAGAACAGGCCTATTGCACTGTCTGCACCAGTTCAAACAGTGCAGGCAAAAAGAACAAGCCTATGGTGGTCTTCTTCCACCATGGAAAGACTGTGAATTTTCATGGAGTCGTGCGATTGTGTGTGACTTTTCGTAATTTCGTTATTATTTATATATACAAATTTGAGTGCATCGTGTATATTCTCCATAATATATATTTTGTGAATTTGATATTAGTACACTTGAGTACACTTTATAATGTTTGCATTAATGGGAGAAGTTAACTTTTGGACTTTTGATGACAATGTAAACATAGAGGTCACAGATTTCGGTGCATTTAAGTAATTAAAAACATCACGTAATTAATTTTCAGATTTCACTATTACAACAATTTAATTGCTTTTGATTCTTTTAGATATCATGATAAACGTATTGATGGCACTTATGAAGAAGGCAAAAGATCATATTGTCAAGAGCGCGGAATGACTTATGTTCCAGAAAACAAAAAGGGAAATAAATTGAAACATTCTATTAAATACTTAGAGGTATAATAAATCATGTAGTCTACCTTTCCTTGTCTATTTTTGTAAAGAAAATATACATTATAAAATTGTTATCGTCGTATCTAGGGTCAGCTCAAAGATAATTCTGTAATTTATTCTCAATGGTATGATGATTCTGTTGTACAATTAATGCTTAGCAATGGCTTATTGGTGCAAATACAAGTTTGTCTCTTCAGTGGTGATGTACAAGAAATTAATTTTGATAAATATCTTGTAGGAAAGTTATCTGAACATATATCTGATGGTAATTGCCTATTATTTTATCACCAGAAATATCTATTTATATTATACACAAAAAATAATATTTTACTTTATTTGCAGTAATTATTACCAAAAGTCATTTGGTTTGTACATACAACGATAATCTAGTGACTCTGGTATATTTTACAAAATCTAAAACACACATCTTTGATAAGATGAGCAAGTTAGAACCCAAATTAGTCACAACAGACTTATTTAAACCTAATGGACGCAGATTGGATAAGAAGATCCAAGTAAACAAGTCTGCTAATTTGGTAAATTGTGTGCTTCAAGATAATTTTTTAAAACTCGATATAAGTAGACAATGTTACAGTTAATCTATTGTATAAGAAATAATGTGTCTTTATAGATATTAATTTGGCGAAAATCTACAATGAATGAAGTTTACCCTTGGAGTCCTGCTATGAAACAATACCATCGAGCAAATATGCATCTCTTTAGGCTTACAGGGTATGAGATCAATGTAACTTCTTTAAATGTTCTTATCCTTTTACATAACATTCTTTGCCCTTATATATGTATTTTTGTTCGTTTTAATTTTCTCTGCTGTGATCTTTTTATAGTTTATTGACTTCCTCATTATATATATATTTCCCATTCTTATTTGTGTGTTTTACCTTCTTACATAAATTCTCATGTTTCTTCTTGTGCTGTTTCCATAAATCTTTTTTATATTGAGATGATATTGATAATTCTTTAGCGATACTTGCAGTAATTTTCTTTGGCAAATTCCAAGTGCCCTTTTTTATAATATAATATTTTTTATTATAATTTTTAAATATTGTATGAATTAAGAGAGAGACTTCTTACGATAATAATATTGATTTTAAAGAATTTAGATTCTAAAATTTGTATCACATACATTATTATAATATTAATTTATACAAACTTTAAATGTTTCCCATGGCAAATGTCCAACTCTTTTAGCATTGTCTAACATACGTCCATTATTATCCGCGATAAATTTCGTCGTGACACAATGTCTATCTGGCCAGTTAGGATACCATTTAGGAATTTCCCAATTTCGCAATCTTTTTGGAGCAAACGCATCTTCTGTCCAATTGCCATGCCAATGCTGAGACATTTTCGTATAATTCTCGTGATTTTATAATTTTAGTACGTATGAATTTTAATAGTGCTTGCTAATTCTTTCCCAAGCACGGTTAGTTGTCTGTCAGTGTTACTGTGCCATGCTGTTGCTATGTATAATAAATCAATTACAAACACTTGTACAGTCCCTGTTTGTATGTATAGGTCTGTCTTCCGTCGCTGAACTAGTGTACACTTTTAGAACTTAAAATGAAATAGGTATATGTTTATTGATATTTGTAGAAAGCGAGAAAGAGAGTTCTAGTTCAGTCTAGTGCAGGAACAGAGAACAGACAATATGTATGTATGAAACACTGTATGGCGATACATAAAAATAAAGGGATTTAATTATTTATAATATTTAAATATATTAAATCTTATAGGACCGTACATGTGAGAAACATGACCAATAAGAAATTGCCTTTAACGGTCGAGCTGGATCTTAGGTGCTATTATAATTTCGTGTGAATTTAATTTATATATTACGTATGTAGTCTTTTAAACCGCGCGCCGAACATTTTACGGTCTTGAAACGCTACTGTATGAAACTACCACAATAATATATCACGAGTTAAATTATCTACCAATTGAACAATTTTTATGCTCATGCTTGAATAATGTTGAATGACATATTAAAATCTATGAATGATATATTAGAAATCTGTAAATAATTAATTTATATTGCGAAAAATATTATCTCGGCCGGGAGTCGAACCCGAATCTCTGATCAAGATCGAACAATTGTTCGGCACGCGGTTTAAAAGACTATACATACGTAATATATACATTCACACGAAATTATAATAGCACCTAAGATCCAGCTCGACCGTTAAAGGCAATTTCTCATTGATTGTGTTAATTATTTATATTTTCAGAACAAAGTTAGAATTGTTATGTTACATACGTACTGAATTTGATCCCTTGTGTATTACGTTTGATGCATGCAATGATGATATTATTCATTCTGTAGAACAAAAAGTCTCAAGGAAGGTAATTATGCACATCTCACAATTCGGTATTGTGTGTGAATGCAAATTTAATATACTAAATATATTTTCATATATCAATTAAATTTTATATTAAAAATGAAAGAAACATTTATGTTTGTAAATTTGGATATCGTAATATATAGGGAGAGGTTACCGTCGAATGGCGTACATATGAAATCTCTCGGCAAAATAAATTAAAAAGGATCGCTGTGATTTCCGTGCAATTGCCAACGCATACAAGTTGTGTGAGATTTTCACCAAATCAGGAGATATTACTTTTATGTTGCATTGATGGTACTATTATGATGTACGACCAGATTAAATCGACGAGCATCAGTGTAAAAGCTGCTTTTGTAAGTTTTATTAATACATAAATATAACTTTGTAGACGCACAATGATATACAATATATTATACATATTATGGAAGATGCATTGATATGTGATTTTCTGCATTTCTTTTCCTTAAGATACCTACTTTAGCCTCCTGGCATAGCGATGGTATAATATTTGTGGTAGGTAATGATAGAGGCCAGTTTCAATATTTTGATATTACTTTAATGTGTATCAAAAGTCAGACATTAAGCAACGAGGCAATGCCAGCGAATATTCTCGACTTATCATCATATTTTAAGTACGAACAATGAAATAATTAATCAGTAAGACATAGCCATAAAATTGGATTAATAAAATAATAATACACAACACAGGAATCAGCATGCTTTGCTGCATATGGAATGGAACAAGAAAAGTGATCCAAATCAGATACGTTATTACAACAATGGCAATTCTTTATTCTTATTACTTTTCGAACGGTAAGGACTGCCATTTCTTTTATCGAACACCATGTCCGATATTGATTGTGATGTGTAACAATTTGTTCTGTATTTTCAGAGGACCGATTGGAATTATTAAAATGATTGAAGGCGATACTTTCTCTGGGGATGAATTAGTTAGAAGATATTTGTCAGAGTCTCGAGCGGAACAAGCGACTTCCTTGCTGTTGTCAATGAATTGGGATACGCATCCACGTGTATGCATGCATTCGCTTAATCAAATCTTAAACTATTTATTTAAGTTACCGCTAACAACAGAACGCGAAGGTAAAATAAAATTTTATTCTTTTTCTAATCTGATGGTTAATTAAGAGATTACTTATTAATAATTAAAAAAAAAAATAATCTTATTCTAATTCATTAATCTGATCTATATATAATAGGTATGATACAGAATGCGTTAGGCAGTTTCCACATACCTATTAAACCAATAAGTCAAACTGTCGAAGAAGAATATGGGGATGAAGTAAGAGATTTGACAAGGAGATTTTTCCATCATTTATTAAGGTAGCGCATCTGATGTAAATTAAAAATTAATTTATTCTAATCGTTATGATTCTTATAGGTATAAGATGTTTGAGAAGGCTTTCCGACTAGCTATTGATTTAAATGATCACGATCTTTTTATGGACATACATTTTTATGCTGCACTTTTGAATAATGTGGAACTGGCAACTGCAGCCAAAGAAAAAGCTGAGAGTATTCTAAGCAGATCAAATAGTTGCAGTGGTTCACGTAAGAATTTTGATAAATTTTTGGTGAAGCGCTTGTAAAGATTTTAATACACCTTGTACATATTTAAATAAATAAATATATAAATACATTTTTATAGATTCCACATGTTCAAGAACATCATGTTCTATATGTTCCGATTCAAGCAATGAGAAGGAAGAAGAGGAGGTGGAGGAGGAAGAGAAAGAAGAGGAAGAGGAAGAAGAGGAGGAGGAGGAGGAGGAGGAGAAGGAGGAGGAGGAGGAGGAAGAGGAAGAGGAAAAAAAGCAGATAGAAGCAACATATAGTGAAGAGAGTGAAGATTCTCAAAAAGAAAAACGACATAATCTGAAACGATTGCGAAAGCATCGTTACAGGAAAGCTTCGAGTTCAAATCAAATCCCACCCTTACCAGTTGTCCATCCTCATCATACCACAAAGAGCACACTTTCTGTACCATATAATAATATTCCGTCCACTATTAAGACTGATTACATCTTAGTACCTTCATCCTTTGACACTTCCAATAATATTTTAACAACTTCGTTTAATCACTCTTCGCACATTTCGAGCCCATTTCTATCATCGACCTCTTTTAATAAATCATTATACAGTACACACTCGAATTTTACACCAATCAGCGCGGCGAGTATCATTAATGATTCTCAAGTGTTCAACAAGGCATCAGACGACTTAATGACCACGTCATTTAGCAGTATTTCTCTTAATGAATCAGAGGTAATAGTGAATGATCAGTCTAGCAATAATTTCGACGGGAGATCGTATGATCAATCGTTACTTAATGAAATATCATATTCTTTTAGTAGTTCCACTACCAATGTAATTACAACTTGCGCACAAGACGATAGTTTTATCTCTACTCCTTTCAATAAGCCGATATATGAATCGGAAGACATTCACTCTAATAATTATTTGACGAGCTGCTTAAACGTTATTGATAATAATGTTATGTCAACGTCATTCGGTACTAGAATCGCTAAAACTCCTATCTCTCAGAGTAACTCTATCAATGCATTAACAACGAACAATAACTCTGCTTTTATGTTACGAGACATGAAATCTTCAAAGATATCTGATAAATCATTAACTAAAACTTTTATCGATAATACTCATACAATGGATCAATTGCTTCTTCCGAATAATACTTGTAACAATCTGATGTCTACTTCGTTTAATAATCTTGAAGGATATACAACTCTTGGAAGTAGCAACATTGCATTTCCCAACACGTTTAACAATGTCAATGATCAAGCTGTTAAATTACAACATCCTGTAACGGAAGAAAAAGAAACAAATATCACTGTTCCACCACCATCTTCTTTGATAGGTTCTTTCTCTAATTGCCTTGATGGTTTACCTAGAAAAAATTATCTTTTATCTAGAAGCACTCAAGGTTTGCACTCAAATATTAAGGAATTGGAGAAATTTACATCGAATGCAACCCATATGCCGTTGTGCATTTTACAAAAACGAAATTCCACAATGTCTAATGTACCTGAAAATCAGAAAACATCTTTATCTTTCAAAACATATAGATACAATTATGATCTAGATTATATACCATTTCAGGGTACTTGCAACGATACAGACTTACAACTTTCACAGACAGTTAGCAGATTTTCTTCACAAAATTTTCACCCTAGCTACGGTATACATCATGGATTATTTGAAAATAGACACTCGTCGAGATCTTCCCAAGTTAATGCAAACGTTAATAGAGAAACTAAAATGTTTTCTAATATACCACCTCTGCCTGTAATTAATACGTCTATCACTAATTCAAAGATTTGCTCTACATGTCCATCGTTTGCCGATATATCAAGTTCTCTCTCTAACGAAAAGCCAAAGGTGAAATTTTCAGACACTGTCACTCATATACTAGTACCTGGCTCAGTAAGTAGTCTTAAAAACGTGTGTGCGTGTGTGTGAAGTAATGAAAAATTTTGTCGCATAGGGGTAGAATGGACTAAACTGAGAAGAAAAGTTCTGTATCATTCTACAATTTTCACAATAGTTAACGAGATATTAATTTATAAAAATATCCAAATTTGCCCGACCCACCGCCAAATGCAAGCGCACGGCTGAATACAACCACTCAGCGAAGCGCGCCATGCGCGTTCGCCGTCGCTAGACACGCGTTTATAACAAACGGCAATGATCGTCGCTAGACAATGTTCATTGCCGCTTATAACGCTATTTTTCTTTCTTTTTCTTCTCAGTTTAGTCCATTCTACCCCTATGTGACAAAATTTTTCATTACTTCTCAAACACCCTGTATATATCTATATATATTTATAAATTTTATATATATATATATAATTTTTCTTTCAGACTCAAGTATATAGACAGAAACGATCTATTACACAAGCACATATAACGGATCCTAAACGTGAACTAGCTGAAAGTCTTCCACTTTGCCTTGGTAATGAAGATTACCTTAAAGATTTTCAACCATTGTGTAGTAAGCATTTTACATTAGTACATCTATTTTGTACGAAATTTTGTATGTAAGAAGCTTTACAACACAATTGTGAATAACACAACTTTGTCCAATATCAATTTTTAATATTTTGCAGAAGATAGTGTTGATGAAAAAATAAAAGAATCTCCGAAGACTGATGACAGTACAAAGATTAAAGTAGTGCATTTTGGTTTATTATAAACAAGTATCTTAAAAAAAAATACGTATGTATATCGTATTTGTTACATGCGAGCATAAACAGAGAGATAGCACCAGACACAGAAGAATAATAAACAAAATAAGTCCGACATTATTTATAATAAAAATTAATTAAGTTTAATCTAAATTGAATTTAAAATTAAGATTAATGAGAATATTGTAAAATAGTTTATTGAATTATTTTTATAAATTTTTTGTATATATTGTATAACTTTCTCATAAAAAAGTACAACAATAAAACTTTTTATCGTTGATTTTATGTGTAACTTTTTCAAGTTTTTACTGTCTTAAAAGTTTACGTGCTTGTGGAAAGAGATGCTATTTTTGTAACAATATATACAAGTATTATTTATATCTAATAATACATTAATCACAACAATGTAAATACTACACTTAAGTTTTATTTTTTTAATGTATCTAGCGTCGATTTCAAGTCCATCAATTCTTTGTCTGGTATGTATCGCTTCTCTTCTAGCGCAGGATCATAAATATTTATATTCAAAGTAACACCTTGTGGTAAAGCAGCCTCCAATGCTCTGATCAGTACTGAATATTTTATAGATGGTACTTCTGACATTTGTATATTTCTTTCATAAATTTTGAGATAATACTCAGACACAATTGTTGTCGTTCCAGTTTTATACTTCTGAATCGTGAATTCTTGAGGTGGTAACGGCCAGCTGAATAGAAGAATGTGGATTGTATTAAAAATTGAAGAATATAAAATTGAGAAAATTTAATACAAACTGACCTGTTGTCTATATCGATTTGTATGACATCCGCTAATTTGTGTATAAATGACTGATAGCATTCGAGCACAGGATAATCATAACCTTTAATTTGTACATTTATCGTCGATAAAAGTGGAAATTTTGATTTTCCTGTCTGTAAATATCGAAAACTAACAAAATATGTTATGCGTGGTCTACAATGGGCAGTAATGGATTAAGGAATAGGCGTAGAAATCGACCAATGATAGTTAATTGTCCTCCTCACATTAGACTATGATTTGTTGATTTCTACGCCTACTCCTTAATACTCAACTACTGCTACTGCCCATTGTAGACCACGCATTATATATACTTAAAATTTAAATATTCAGAAGTTTAAATCCAACCTCTAAATAATCTGGCTCGTACAGACTTCCAGTGTAAAATTTTGCCGATAACGTTTTTGTTGCGAGTGAACGTTGTCCAAGCACTGTAATCTAGAATAAGTAAAAGCAATTGTATTAGATAGCTCAATTGTATGTAGTAAGATAAAAAGATATTCAACAATGTATATGCTTTAGGTTGTTTTACTCGATGTATGTAACTCGATCGCAAAGATATACCTGTTTGATCAGATTTAACGCCATTTCCCGTACGATAAAATAATCAGACTAATGATTTTCGGAAAAAACTTAATTCACGAATTTGATTGAATTCAGTCGTCAAATTGCGCACGCTGACTAGTAAATTTCCTCGTTTCATCAGCTGATTGCTTGTGCTGGCTTGTGCTATTAACGCGCGTGCTGCTAAAAGGTGTTCTTAAAACGGTGTTTAAACGGCTAAAGATAGATATAGATGACATTTGCGATTCCGCGACGTGTCGTGGCGTTGCGTGGAAAAAAAGAAAAACTTTCGTAATAACCTAGTATATACCGAATAGTCGCGCAAAGCTTAATCCAAGTATAAAGAAATTATTTTTTAATCTAGCTCGATAAAAGTTTTTTACGATAATTACGCGGTAAGGTTATAAAAAGAGCCATTAATTTGCACACACACATGGCATATCGAAATCGAAGAAAAGTATGATTGCTGATATCTGCCACTTGTCTCAATAATTCTCGCTGAAAAATAATATTTTTCATTGACACAAATGCATTAACAATCGATATATTATACATTTGTTAAAAGAATCTTGAATAAATGGATATTGAAACAGAAAATGTAATAAATCTAATATTTCCAGAAGGTATCCCAGGTAAGATTAATTTTGTTATTTTGAAATTAATTGGTTTAATGCATTATTATTGCATTAAAACGATCTCAATAATATATTTTGTATGTATTTTATGAAACTGCAATTTCAGAATCTTGGAAAGAAAATCCTAATTTTTATCAGTATCTCTCAAAACTTGGAGGCATTGATGTAGATCAGCTAAGTACGAATACCTTCATTAACCGACTTATCTATTTAAATTTTGCTTTATATACATCAATGAGATACAGATTTATTTTATGTGAATAATTTTTAGGTAAAGAACCTGATCGTTTGTCTGATGAGAAAAATGCAGTGCTTCAAACTACACAGAAACTAGTCTTTGTAAATTACAAAACTTTTATTCAGACAGCAGAAAGCTCACGAGATATACTCAATCATGTAATTTCAAAAAATATAAAGTTGAAGTGTATATAGAGCTGTATAAAGAGAGATTAACAAATTGTATTGTTTTACTTTTAGTTCAATGTGACCAAAAATCGCCTTGATAAACTTGTCCAAAAGATCCCAGAATTTGTGAAAAAATGTCAATCGTTTTGTGATACTTCAAAAGATATTAACGTGCATCGAAGATTAAATAGCTTAACGCTAACGCGAAATGCAGAGCTACTTGAAATTCTCGAGATGCCTCAATTAATGGAATCATGCTTGAGAAGCAACCAATACAATGAAGCATTAGAATTGTCTCAATACACTCGTCAATTGGGAATGAAGCATGGGGATATACCTATTATCTCGGTACAAGTTTAGCAACCTTTCTTAACGCATGTTTTCTTCAATCTATATTTGTTGCTTTATTTTATTTTACTTTATTTCTATTAATATTAATATTTCAGTCTGTAGTAGCAGAGATCGAAAACAGCTGGTCAGGTATGGTAGGACAAGTAGTTGGCTCTCTGAGAGGAGATCTACCGCTTCCAAGATGTCTTCAACTTGTCGGTTTGTTGCGGTCTATGGATGCATTTACAGAATCAGAACTTCGCATAAAATTCCTTCAAGCAAGAGATAGCTGGCTTCAAGGCTTGCTGAATGCAATACCGAAGGAAGATCGTAAGAGGATTTTATTTAAATTACAGTACATAATACAAAAGCTGAATTGATCCAATTGATAAGAAAATTACATCCTACGTCTGTTGCAGCTAATCTTCACATGGCTAAAACAATAGAATTATCCAGGATACATTTATTCAATATAATAACTCAGTACAAAGCTATGTTTAATGATGATGAATTAATAATTCCCGGCCGCGATTTAACATTAAATGAATCTGCGATATTTTATCATTGGTTGGAGGAAAAGGTAGATTTGTAACAAACTAACAAACAATGAACACAGGTCTAATGTAAACGATGAGTGCCTTTCAACAAGCGACACAAATGACACGGTGTATTAGTATATCTTTGTTGTTTGTGAATGTTAAGCAAAGTTGAGATGATTACTGTGTTGTACTGTGTCGCTTGTTGGAAGGCACATAATGAAATGTGATTAAAGTTTGTTTGTTTTTTTCCTAGATAACGCAATTTCTTGCTACGCTTGAGCAAGACTTACCAGGTGTAACATCTATAGATACCATTTTGGGTCAATGTACATACTTTGGATTATCATTTGGTCGAGTGGGCGTTGATTTCACTGGTCGAATGTCGGATATATTCGTACGAGTTATCGGTGAAAGGTTTGAACAGAACGTTCGTAGAACAACTCGAAAGTTCGAAAAAGATATGGAAACATTTACATTGATTAACAAAACGCAACGACTTGATGTAAAAACAGAGACTTGTATTAATTCTGTAAGTATAAAATTAAAACTATCATTTAAATTTAAAGTTTATATTAATTTACTATTACAAACTGTCTCATAGGAAAATCCACCTGAGCAATTGGTAGAATTTTATCCTCTGGCCAAATACTGCAACGGGATTATAGCTGCGTTCAATGAATTGAGACTCTGTACACCAGTGGCACTCTCTACTTTATGTACAAAATTGCTACAAGAGTCGTTGAATAATGTGGCGAGGGCTATGTTAGTATTTTACAAGCAAGAGCAGCAAGTACGTTTTCATTGTCGTGTAATTTTTATTCACAAATAAATTCTCTATATTTTATTAAATTATATGTTGTAGGCATTTGCTGCTGCGGAACGGGAAAACATGATCAAGTTCACAGAATGTTTAAGCGAACAATTAATACCTTATATACAGTATTGCATACATGCAATTTTTCCTCCTGCCCAAATTGCAACTCATTTAGGAGTATCAGTCAGTGTACTACAGAAAGAGGTATAAATTCTTGAACGTCATGAAAAGGTGGAGACAGAGACACACACACCCACACACGCACACACACCCACCCACCCACACACACGCATACACACACACACACGCGCGCGCGTAATGGTGTAAAATAAATTACAGGAAATTACATATTTAAATAAGCGGATTGTAGTGGAACCTGTGGCTGTACTATTACCTATTAGAAAGGATTGTTTGACTTCCAAATCATGTGCGTCTAATATACAGCCATTAACATCACATAATGTAAGAAATTCTTCCATCGCAACGCTTCTACCAACAGAAATGATGGATTCAAACACGAAGATTACAGAAACAGAAAAATCAAGCAAAAATGAAATTACTCAACAAGGAACGATATAAAAGTACGATATGCAAAGTTCACAGAATTTCAGTGACGATGTAAAGAGCATTGTACAATATATTGATGTAAGGCTCGAAGTATTCAATTATGTAAATTTGGACACAATTGCTTACTATTATATATATATATATATCAGGGTGATGTAAATAAAAAAATTTTATGATTACCAGGGCGCACTTGTCTCTTTATTTTTTGAAAATGCATGCAAAGGAGATAACAATTTGACAAACAGCAAAATAATGAAATCTTAAAGTAGATATAAAGCAATTAGGCTTCAATAGATATCGAAAATATTTATTCTTTCATAGACTCCTCCGTAACTTGACTCTGCTGCGTGGTTTCATTTTCATTTTTCTTCTTTTTACTTCCAGAGACAATGTCGTCTATTCTCAATAACAAGATAGCAGTCTCGACCGCAGTTTTATACGTTTGTAATTTTACGGACAGTGGTTCCCATATACCGCGTTCGTTCATGTCGACCAATTTTCCCGTTTCTCCATCAATGCCCCAAGTAGTTCCTTCTGTTGCATGTTTAGCGCGCAACGCCGTTAGAGTCCTGATAGTATTTGCGCCACAATTCTGTGCTAGCATTCTGGGAATGATCTCCAAGGCCTGTGCGATCGCCTTGTATGGCCATTGTTCTACACCTGCAAGTCCTGCTGCCTTTTCTGTTAAAAGCCGGGATACTGCCATTTCCACTGCTCCACCACCTATGAGGAAAAAAGGAAAAGGAAAACAAGACACGAAAGGAGTGGTGTAAATAATTTTGTGACGAAAGATAACACAACACTAATAAAATCTTACGCACCTGGTACAAGCTTTGGGTCAATAAGAAGATTTCTGGCAACATGCAGAGCATCCTGCAAATTTCTCTCAGTCTCATTCAAGATATCTTTACTAGCACCTCTCAGAATGATAGTACAAGCTTTTGGATCTTTGCAGTCTGTTATAAAACAGAAATAATCATCACCAAGTTTCTTGATTTCGAAAAGACCAGCACCCGTTCCAACATCCTCGTCCTTGAGTTCTTCAGTACGATTGACGACAGTAGCACCACAAGCGCGGGCAATTCTGTTAATGTCACTCTTTCGTAGCCTGCGTATCGCAGATATGCCGGCTCTTACGAGGTAATGCTGAGCGAGATCCGATATGCCCTTCTCTGTTATGACGACATCTGGTTTTACTGAAATAACATCCTCGCATATCTTCTTCACATACTCCTCCTCTAATTCCAAAATCTTAGTGAAATCAACATCTTTCATTATCTCTATATTCGTTTGAGATTCGCCCTTTTTATATTCCAATGGACAATCAAGCAGTACTATTCTTGGATCTTTGATGTAACGTTTCATTTTTGGATGTGTGACATCCTTGTTGATCATCACACCCTTGAGAACAGTACTGTCCTCTATTGTACCACCTGGTATCTTCTCTACCTTGGCGTAACGTTTGATGTCAATCTCTCTTCTACCGTTCTCCTCGAGCATCACGGTATGAACAGCATTCAATGCGATTTGACAGGCCAATTCAGACCAACGTCTGATAAATTTAGTACCTGTACAGGAGTTTATTACTTGGACCAGTTTATTTTTGTCACTGCAATCTAAATCGATGCTAACTTGTTCATTGAGAATCTTGACCATATCTTCCAAAGCTTGACGATATGCTCTTATAATGACAGTAGGATGCATGTTCTGTTCCAAGAATGGTTCGGCAGTAGCCAAGATCTCGCCCGATAAAACAATCACCGAAGTAGTACCATCTCCTACCTCTTCATCCTGAGTCCTGGCAATTTCTATCATGGACTTTCCAGCAGGATGCTGCACAGTGATCTCACGCAAAATCGCATTTCCATCATTTGTCATTACGATTCCACCCATTGGATCCATCAACATCTTCAGCATGGCTTGAGGACCCAAACATGTTCTGATGACATCTGCAATTGCCTATATATGCAAAAACAAAAAAATTTGTTATATTGATTCAATGTAACACTTGAAAGTCATGTTAATTCAATGATATTATTAGACTGAAGGAAATGTCCTACCAGTATTTTATTATTTCAAAATAATATATTGTACACTAAAATAAGCAATTATACCATTTGATGAGAGCAAAGCTTCAGCTTCAAGAAAAAATAAGAAAGAGTTTTTTTTTCCTTAATTGAAATACAATGATTTTTAATAGAATATAAGTATTAATATAACACTTGTTATTTTTTAAAAAAAGTTTTGAAATACAATGATTTTTAATAGAATATAAGTATTAATATAACACTTGTTATTTTTTAAAAAAGTCAAAATTAAGATATCGGTATTATAAACAAGCAATCGATGTAAACAGTTGACAAACTTTATTATAATAATTTCGCAATTTAAAATTTAAAGCGAAACGTTTCAACCCTTCTCTTCAGTCTCAATAATATATACAAACATTAATATAAATATAACAATTTAAAACAATAATTATAAGATATAAAGTCAATTAGTCAAATTATAAATTGAAGGAAAGAAAACCATTTCATAAGGCTGTATCCGCATCATGATTCTATGGAATCATTAATCAAATATTAGGCAATTAAAACCGAAATTGAAGATAAAACACAAAATCAAATCCGAATGTATATCAGGGCCTATATTCTGTACACATCTACCGACAGTTGTCGGTATCGTTAAATAGCGATAGCCAATGGTAAGGACTATTCTAGAAGAAAAGTGCGATTCTTATTGGATATCGCTGCTTAATGACACCGACAACTGTCGATAGATATGTACAGAATATACGTTAATTTCAGATGCTCCAAAAATAATTCTCTCTCTTCAAATTCAAATTTATTGTATTGTAACGCAGACGTGATGTGTGTGAGAAGCAGTTGTCAAAAGAATAAGGAAAATTATGATTTGGCTGTAGAAATGTCAAACACTGTTTATCATTACGAGGTACATAATCAAAACAAAATATCATATGCTTTGTCTAATTTCTCAGTGTTGCAATGTTCAGATATTACAGAATTATAATAAAGTTATATTATAATTTTTATTATTATAATAAAGTTTGTCAACTGTTTACATCGATTGCTTGTTTATAATACTGAAATTCAATATCTCAATTTTGTCATTTTTAATGGAGTTATGAGCAATTAAAATCAAAATATTTCTTTACTCAACTCGCGAATAACTCAGAAATTATTAGGAATATTTTTTAAAAACAAATTTTTAGGAAAAACTTATGCTTTACGTTAGATAGTCGAAAATTTTCGCAAATTCTTTTTTGGTACATGACAGACCCACAAAGTGAATTAACAAATACGTAAAGTATTTTTAAGTTAGCGATACGAAAATCAATGCGAATAAACGAACTTAATCTGATCTCTCTCTCTCTCTTTCTCTTTGGGAAGTCATACCAATAACACGTGGGTGTGTACCTCGTGAAAATCGCGAGAAATACCTTATAAGGAATTGAAGGAGTGCGTTACATTGCTGATACACAGAATATTCTATAGACATACGCTCTCTCACCTTGCCCGCCTGGATATTCTCTTTCTGTACTTTTCTGCCGGTATCGCGCTTCGTGTTCTGGCCTGCAATAATTAAAATGTTTGACATGGTTAGAAAGACAATTGATACACGCGAGCTGCTAATACTGCTAAACAGGAGACAAACGGAAAATCGACTTACTGAGAACTACGATCGGTGCCGAACCCGGTCCAAACATTGTGTAAGAAATTGCTTGTTCAGGCTTGTTTCAGTTATCCTCGGAGTAATTAGAAGGAGATCAAGCTCAAGCGGTCGGCCATGAGAAAAAGATGGGCTCGAAACACGGTGTCGGAAAAGCGCTGTATAGAAGAACCACGGAGTATTATGGGCCTTCTACAATAAAGCGGGGAGCACAGACTTTTGCATAACGCATAAAGCATGTGCATAAGGAATTTCATTGGTCCATTTTCTTATGCATGAGTCAATGGACCAATCAAATTCTTTATGTATATGGTTTATGCGTTATGCAAAAGTCTGTGCTCCCCGCTTAAGCCGTAAGTCACAAATCATAAGTCATAAGCTAGAAATGGACCAATCACAGTCGTCAATTTTTAGTTTCTTACTTCCGATTTATATAACTTATGGCTTATTGTAGAAGGCCCATAAGTGATTGGTTGACTACATATGTCCCCCCCACTCTTTGCCGCCATTATGTGCAACGATGTATATTTCCACCAGTAGATTAGACTATGGTGCGCTACTTGCAGTATGATTCCATTCGGTTTTCAACTTTCAAAGAGTATAATAATATATACATTCGCAATATTTACGCGTATTAGTTAATTATGTATGTACATGCATACATATTTATAAAAAATTGATGCCTATAACCAATACGAATCGTAACAGGATGGAGTAACGTCACACGTCAGTTATGTAGACGTGATGTACAGACTCTGAGATGGATACGTGATAGATTTTTGAATATAATTCACAATTAATACGAATATGATGGAGAATACGAATGATAAGTTTTTTTATGTCTATAGTTCTTCGTTAGATACCCGAATACAAATCAAGATGTAAGTCTTAACTATACAGCTCACATATCTGTATTACTGTTTAGTGTAATCGCGATCTGAGATTATCACATGATAAAAGTATCTTATGACATTTCGTCCGTATGAATCGTATGACGAAAGACCTTCATTAATTATACTGGTTATACCGGCGTGAAATAATCGGATTAGGATAATTAACATGCGTGCATGTTGAAACATTTGGACTTTATCTTAAGTGTATAGATTGCACACGCATAATTGGCAGTCTTTAGACAGTCAAAAGGTGTATTGCTCTTATTATTTTATGCAGAGGTACGTTAGAGGGCAAAAGACACAGACCGGAATACGACGAGCTGCTTTTAGATCCTTTACTCAAATATTCGGGTTTGTACGAGAGTGGTGGGATTCGTGGAGATCTAGCTGCGTCTTTGCAGGTATGGGCTGGTGGTAGACCCTTGGCCCTGCCTGTACACACAGCTTACAAACATTTTACCACACGTTGGAAGTATGTTGCATTTTGCATTCGCGTACTGTATCATCTATGTACTAGATAATTAATAAGATCTTTTATCTTCATTGATATATTTTTTGCATCCAGCTGGAATCAGTGGGTCTACCTGCCGATTTCCTATACAGATTTACCACGCGACGCCCAGCTGTGTGTAACCTTGTATGACTGTGCAGGACCTGGTAGACAGCTTCCAGTAGGTGGTACAACTATATCATTATTTGGTAAGCATGGAGTGTATAGACAGGGTATGCTGGATCTTAGAGTATGGCCTGGAATAGAAGCAGATGGCAATGTCCCAACTAGCACCCCAGGGAAAGCTAGAGATCATGGGAAAGAACAAATGCAACGACTTGCAAAGCTTGTTAAAAAGCATAGAAACGGACAAATAAACAAAATTGATTGGTTGGATAGATTAACTTTCAGAGAGATTGAATTAATCAATGAGAGGGAGAAAAGAGCATCGGAATACTTGTACTTGATGATAGAATTTCCGGAAGTAACAATGGACGGTGTACCGGTATGTGTTTATATGTGAACTTGTGTATAGATAATAGTCCATATTCAGAACGCGCTACAACGATGTTAGCGTGCTATAGTTTAAATCATATATATTATAGAATTTCAGAGATAAAAGCGCGTTCTGAATTATGGATTAATATGTATAATTTTTTATACATGTGTACAGTATAAAGGTAAATTATTAATACATTCATTTTTTATTATAGTATTCAATAGTATATTATGAGAAAGATGGCGATGAGGTGTTTCAACACAGATTACAGCCAGACGTTGTGACGCTTCCCGACTATGAAATTTTACAAGTAAGATTTTACAAAAGATATTTGTGAAATGCACGCGCTTAATTATATTTTGAGAATGTATAAAGATTTAATATTTTTGTTTAGGAGAATCTTGTGGAGGCGAAACATCATAAATTGGCGCGCAGTTTACGTAGCGGCGGTAATACTCGCGAATTAAAACCTACTTCGACCGTGCGAGATGCCTTAAATACAATATTGGGATATCCTCCGACAACTGCACTTACCACTGAGGAACAAGATTTAATTTGGAAATATAGATTTTACTTGTCTAGTCAGAAGAAAGCATTGACCAAATTTGTTAAGTGCGTTAACTGGAAAGTCGCCGGTGAGGAACGACAGGCTTTGGAAATGCTAGCGTTATGGGCCCCACCGGATTCCGAGGATGCTCTAGAATTACTAGGACCCGCATTTACTCATCCGGCCATCAGGAGATATGCGATTAGCAGACTTAATCAGGCTCCTGATGATGATTTGATGTTATACTTGTTGCAATTAGTGCAGGCGTTAAAGTATGAAGACTTTGAAAGCATTAAGGTTGCTTATCAAGCAATGTTGAAGGAAAAGGAAGAAAGAGTAGAATCGAAAAATTGGAGCACCGAAAAACTTGAAAGAAGCGAAAGATTGGAAAGAATGGAGAAATTAGACAAGGACATAAGAAGCAGCGATTCTACATCTACTCCAATTACAACTGTGAGCCAATGATATCTTTATATATGCCTTACGCTGTTATCCGTTTCGTCATACGTGTAATTGGATTTATATCTATTTACAGTCTAGTGAATCGGAGAGTCAGCTATCAACGAGCCAAGAACCGCTCATGGACCTAGCATCGTTTTTAATTACTCGTGCTTGTCAGAATTCGATGCTGGCTAATTATTTCTATTGGTATCTGTCAATCGAGTGCGAGGATCAGACTGATCCTGCGATAAGCGCTAAGCAAGATACGCGAGTTAGGGAAATGTATGTTACCGTAATGAAAATGTTCTCCATGATGTTAGCGCAGGGGAATACCATCTGGCAAAAGAGGAGAGCATTTCTCTTACGACAGAAAGTGTTTATCGATCAACTGGTGTTTCTGGTAAAAGCGGTGGCGCGAGAAAGTGGAAATCGGAAGAAAAAAACTGACAGATTGAGAACGTTGCTGACCGATCCGGATCCGGCGTTCAAAATTAATTTCTCGAATTTCGAGCCGATACCCTTCCCTTTGGATCCTGAAATTTGTATCAAGGGAATTATCCCGGAAAAGTACACATTCAAATTGTTTGATACTATCGATATATTACCACCAATGTTCATACGATTACGATTGTACTGTAATTTACTTTATTAATTTTTTTGTAGAGCAAGTCTTTTCAAGTCTGCGCTGATGCCATCGAAATTGACATTTTTGACGATAGATAATACCGAATATATCGCCATCTTTAAACATGGAGATGATTTACGACAAGATCAATTAATTTTACAAACGATAGCGCTTATGGATAAATTACTAAGAAGAGAGAATTTGGACTTAAAACTAACTCCGTATAGGTAAAACTTGTTATCTAAAACTTGTTATGAGTGATACTACGTAAGATTATAATCTAATGACTCGATTACGCACATTATTCAGAGTACTCGCGACAAGTACCAAGCATGGTTTTGTACAGTTTATCGAATCTACGACGGTTGCGGAAGTTCTAGCTAGCGAAGGCTCAATATTAAATTTCTTTCGAAAGCATCATCCTTCTGAAACTGGACCTTACGGGGTAGTATCTGAAGTCATGGACACCTACGTTCGCAGTTGCGGTAAGAGCATAATTTTCGTACGATTCTACGATAAACGAATGAATGATACACCATTTAATGATTTTATGTTATTATCCAGCTGGTTATTGTATCATTACGTACGTATTGGGTGTCGGCGATCGTCATTTGGATAATCTGCTTCTCACAGCGTCAGGTATGGGTTCTCCAACGATTATGTTCAAGAGAGGTTGTCTCTCTAACAAAACAAACGTACGCAAGTACACAATATTTTATAATGTACAGGCAAACTCTTTCACATCGATTTTGGTTACATTTTGGGTAGAGATCCAAAACCTTTGCCCCCTCCGATGAAGCTCAGTAAGGAGATGGTTGAAGCTATGGGCGGCATCGGTTCTGAACATTATCATGAATTCCGGAAACAATGTTACACGGCATTTCTACATTTGCGTAGACATGCTAATTTGATATTGAATCTGTTTTCGCTGATGGTAGACGCCAGTGTGCCCGATATCGCCCTAGAACCGGACAAAGCCGTGAAAAAGGTCCAAGATAAATTGCGACTAGATTTGAGCGACGAAGAGGCTGTGCATTATGTGCACAATCTTTTAGATTTATCGGTCACCGCGGTGATGGCTGTACTGGTAGAACAACTCCACAAATTTGCGCAATATTGGAGAAAATAATAAGACGAAACTAATGTACAGCGAAATCATACAAATTGTGTTCCTTTCCAAAACGATAGATTACGTATTGTTATATTGTATATAAAACGACTACAGCGTATTTGTAACATATTAATATAATTTATTGTATTTTGGGAGTATTTTAGGTAATAAATCTTTGATAAGAATGATTATTTTCTTGTTCGATGTATCTTTCCAGCGAGTTCAATGATGACTTGCTTTTTCTTTATGTGTGCTCTGAGAGTTTGACGTGAATAATTATTACGTTTAAATATACAGGGTGTCTCAGACCACCCGTTCACCCTTTTTATTCTCCACAGGATAAGATCCAATCAAAAATATATTTAGACCGAAGTTGTGGAATTTAAAAATATCTATTTATTGATCATATCAGTTTGATCTTGGGTGGCTTTGCCAAGGTTAGATTAAGGTCACATTGATTTATTTTAATGAAGAAGAACTTTATTACCTTCAAGCATGATTTATTTTAATGAAACATCCTACATTTGATTCTAGAACCTAATAGCCGATGTCAAGATCTTTCCAAAACCCTGTAATAAAGTATCTTTTGATTTAGTAAATCTCGAGTTATGAAGATTAAAAGTTACAGTATCGCCGGCATTAACATTATCCAACGTGTACCGCGTGAAGGTTGCCCGATTGGATTTACATCTTTTGTGTGTCGCAGAGATAATAAAGCGGTATATTGTAACTTTTAATCTTCATAACTCGAGATTTACTAAATCAAAAGATACTTTATTATAGGATTTTGAAGCTCTTGACATTGGCTATTAAACTCTAGAATAAAAAGTAGGATGTTTCATTTAAAAAAATCGAAATGACCTTGATCTGATCTTGGCAAAGCCACTCAAACTGATATGATCAATAAATAGATATTTTTAAATCCCACTACTTTGGTCTGTGAACATATTTTTGATTGAATCTTATTCTGCGGAGATAAAAAGGGTGAACGGATGTGATGTGAGACACCCTGTATATACAATAATTGCAAAATCTAAACGAACAATTTACAAAAACACACATACACACAATATATAAAACTTGTTTTATCAAATTTTGATAAATGCGCCTAAATCATAAAAATATATCACTTTTTTGTACCATCGCGAAATATAACTTTTACCGTGATAAGACGTCAGTGGCGGAAAAGCAACAAAATATATTCATTGCACGTGTAATCAGTTATGTAAATACTCGTATATTTATTTTATTTTTAATTACAGGTGTATGTGGTGCATACAATAGAAATAAATGTAAATAGATAATATTGTTAGTGTTGAAAGTATTAGATTGTTATCAACATGTGAAACGCAAAGGAGAGCTACTTTACTCATATAAACTTGATGCATAATTTATGAATTTAATAAAATTAACAAACACATGTATATTTTATCTTATACATCAGAAGAGTTCAGTTCCGTTTTTCAATAGAAAAAAAATGTAGCTTTAAATTTTCCATTTTGCAGCGTATTATATGCGTCTGTAAATATACACGAATTTTAATATAATTTTTGTTTGACACATACGTATACTTATAGAGACATACATATCAAAGGAATTTAAAGTTAATTGCAGAACATTAACAATTCAGCCCGTAATTAAAAATTTCTCAGATTTTTTTCTTGTACATTGCGATATAATATCGAGCTATGTTTGACATGAGAATACACACACTTTTTTTCTTCCAATATCAACACAATATGTACACGCGTGACCATAATTAAAAATGCCACGAGAAATAAAAACATTGATTTATTTTTGATATAACGTGAGACTATAATAAAGAATATAATTTTTCTTATGACATTTTGGTAAATCTGTCTTGTATGAGAATTGCGCAGTAAAGAGAGTTCCTCAAAAATCGTTTTCAGTAGGTATATTTTGCAATTACAATTTCATCGCATTTATGAACGTTTTTCGGGTTAACTTAGGCACGTCTCAAACACGACAGATTTTGTAACAATTAAAATCTTTGCTCGCTCTCTTTACATCAATCGCCTCATTAGCATACAAGGTACATTTTATATAAGTTGAAATAAGCACAATTTTATTTCTTATGTACACACACACGCACACATATATTTTTACATGTATATAGTTATATATAAAATTATATATATACACATATAATATATGTATATGTGTGTCTGTGTGTACGTATTTATACATATATATAGTTTGTATTGACTCTATACAAACTAAACATAAGCTAGAGAATATGACCCTCGTTTCGCTCAGAGCTTTACACATTCTTTATCGCGATCTATAGTCGCTATTTTAAAAAAATTACATTGTTCACACATTGAGCAAAGCGAGGTAGGGCGCAATTTTTATTCGCAAAAATTAATGCTGATTCTACAAGGAGTCGAGAGAGAGAGAGAGGGGGGGGGGGAGAGATAATCCTAAATAGTCTTATTGATGAATCAGTGAAGTTGGCCAACAGCCAAGACTAAGACTACCGATTTTCTTAAGACTGACCAAATTCGATTTTCCTATTAGTCGAACTAAACGACTCACTGTATAATTAATAACTTGTAGATGCGAAAAATTATAGTCACCTATTTAGATTAAGACTGATTAAAACTGAAGATTTCCGACTACCGACTCATTGTAGAATCAACTTAAAAGTCTTTAAGATAGACCGAGAGTCTTTCCGTTTCTCGCATTTTCATCATATTATAGAGCATGTATCATTATGGATATACAATCAGAAATGTTGTGCTCTTTGCTTCTCAAGATCGTAAAAAACCAAACAGTTGTCACAGATGTAAAAGAGTGAATAAATGAAACAAGCGAGAACATTAGTAGTCTCGGTTAATATTAAAGAGTAAAGACTATAAAAAGGACTCTTCGAGACTTGCATTAAGTCTTCGTTTTGTTTGTTTGACAATCACACACGAGCTCTTCGAACTGCTACAAATGAATAATTGCTTACATTAAGACTTGAAATTATGGAGTAACAGTGAAATCCTAGGATGTTGATTATGATTTTTCTTTTATTGCGATTACATTGGTTTGACTATCGATCGTCACGCTTTTTATCTTGACATGATAAAATAAATTTGTATCGTGCGATTATCACTGCAATTCTCTCCATTGCTCCATTGTAGACATGGAGAGAAATAATATGATGGAAATCAGGAACCGACGTTCAGCCAACATAAATCTTTGTGATAAAAAAGATCAAAAAAAAAAAAAAAAAAAAAAAAAAAAGAAAGAAGGAATAATAATGCATCTTTACATCTAAATAGCTTGCTTTCCTTCGTTTATACTCTAGCGATTGTACGGACATGCCTTCTCTTCATATCAAAACGTCGATGACGATAAAATCAAGACCACAGCAATATTTTAATGCAATGATGAAACTGTGTAAGTTTCTTCGAATCCTAAGATCCACGGATTATACCACATTCGTAGTTCTTTTATCTTCTGTTTCCTTTTTGTTTCAACGTACATGAATGCACATGCGTTTGTATGTAAGTGCATTCGCTTGTTGTACGTCTAGAAGCCTAGCGCAATAAAATCTAACGCCAAAGTTTAACTTAGTCTAAGTCTAAACGGTTACTTTACTAATATTATAATTAACGCGTTATATTTACATTTAAAAATAGATTCAAGAGTTTATATGTTTAGGGCGTAGTGCGCTTCTGTGTACGCGACAGTCCATCGATAGTCTATTTCAAGTGAAAATTTGTATTGTTACCACTGTCCCCCACGGTAGTATATTACCTGTCCATAGGCCTAGTGGCTGGCACCGAGCTTTCCACAAGATCATGCTTTTCGATCGGCGAGTTCTCTAAACTGTAATCCACCGGATATCTTTCGGGATAGGTTGGGGTGGCCTCACCCTGTTGTTGCCTCAGTTTCAATTCGCTCGATCTCTCCTGATAGAAGCTTTGCGATGCCTCGATGTTCGGCGATGAAGATGTCTGTTCCGTCTTCCCGTCCAGATCGTCCGTTGAATAGTAACTTTGGCTCGCCTCGCTTTCGGGTCTACTGGGATCGTAATAGCCGGGCGAGATACCGTGACTGGTGTAACTGGGCGTCTCCTCGGTCGGAGCGAAATAGCTTTGACTCACCTCCTGAGGATTGCCCTCGTAGTAGCCACCGGGTGTGACGTGCTGCTCCTCGTGTGGATCCTCTTCCAATCGAGAATTTGCATCCTGATCTACAGACTCGTAGTAACTCGCCGTCACTTCCTGATGATGAGCGTAATAACTCGATGGTTCGTTCCGATGATGATCGCTACTCTCCGTGACAAAGTTTTGCGAACACGTCTCCTCCAGGTCGGGCATTGGAATCGGTACTTCGTACGACGTCGAGACATTTTGCTCGACAATCACTTGGTCCTCAAAGCTGGAAGTAGGCACAGAATCCACGTGGTGGGTCGACGTGATATCGGGATTCAGGTTATACGATGAAGAGGTCGGGATCTCCGGTACACCGTTATCGTGGATGTTAGGATGCTCCGCGTTCACCGACGTGTCCGGTATCACGCTGGACGAGGCAATGTTGAGCTCTTCGCATGGCGGTATTTCGTACGATGACGTGCTTATCGCACTCTCCTGATCCTGATCGCGCTCTTGGTTCTCGGGTGTCTCCGGTACGTAAGAGGAGCTCGCTGTTTCATCCTCGTTCAATCCGGAATTATTTGTCGACACGGATGATGTGCCTATACCATCGACACCAACGTCATTGGATTGTGACGGTATATTACCCTCCTGACTGATCTCCGCGTCAGTTTCCAGATTCTCCGTCACACTCTCACCCTTGTCGACTTCGTAACTCTGCGTAGGGAAGCTCTGATCATCGATCACCTCGTCGATATTCGGTCGCTCTAATTGACTTTGCACGATCTCGTTGAAAGATTGCGTTGGCGCGTTTACGTTGGATTCCGCTAAAGCTTCGTAGGACTGGGATGCCTCGTTGATCTTTGTATGTTCGAATGACTGTGACGGTGGTTCCACCACGACAGTCTCCTCGTCCATCTCCATCGACTCGTACGCGATCGACTGTGTGGCTTCGCCTGAAGAGCTCTCCAACTTGGAGGCAGATTGACTAGGTAGATCCGTGGAGTCGCTGCTAATAGACACGTTGAACTGTTCGTACTGAGACTGCGAAGGCGTTTCTTGACTAGCTTCCGCGATTGCCTCCTCTTCTTCCTCGAAACGCAGTTCCATGCTCTGGCGCAAACGACGTCTATCCGATTCTTCCTGCGACGATGGCTCGTCCCTTTGACAATCTTTCGTACTTTTCTTACCAATCGTGCTTCCGGCGAACGGATCCGGTTCTTCGACTGCTACATCCAGTTCCATAGTTGCGTCATTCGTAGGATTTAATGATTCGGCTGATAAAACTCGCGAATCTGTTTTGTGGGCTTCCATTCGATTCGACGTGCCAGCTACTTGTTGGTCTACGCCCGACTTGACTTTGTTGCTAGATTCTTCTGAAATCGCCAACTGTTTCAACTTATCCATCGCTTCATGCGATTCGCTTGCGGTTTTACGTTCGCTCGAGTCCGTCACCTCATAAGTCAACTGTTCCATAGATTCCACCTGCGAATTAGATTCGGACGCAATCAAGGTGGTTTTGTCTATTGTCGATAAATCGGTCATTGACGTATCGCTTCCTTTGTTTTCCATTTCTCGCTCAACTTCCATTGTGCTCGAAGCCGTATCTTCGTTAGCCGATCGTTGCAGAATAAAGTCTCCAGATGTGTCAGAAACTTCCTGAGACGAATAACCACCCTGCAACATCGAAGATGGTCTCTCGTCAAAATTCTTGTCGGTCGAGATAATCGGTTTTTGAGAAGAGACTGAAACTTGATTCTCCGACGCCTTGGAGACCAACATCTCCGATACTGGCACTTGAACAAATGTTTGCTCGGTTGCGACGATCGTTGTAGTTAATTGCGAATTGTCCGCGTACGTATCGTCGATGATCGGCATCGATGGAGTAGTTTGAACTTGCACGTTCTCCAGCACTCTGTTCGGCATTGTGACCGTATACGAGCTGGACGGTGCAATCGCGATCTGAGCGTTCGGCACATTCGGCGTATCTGCGGTGGTCGCGATACTGTCCTCCAGATTTGAAATCACTAAGTATTGAGTATTCGTGGGAATCTCAGTGTGAGCTATCTCTTCGCTCGCTATCGTCGCCGGGCACTCCATAATTTCACCGATGTCTGGCATCGAATTACCAGGGATGTGAATCTGTGTCTCTCCTGTGGCAGATATGTAGGAGATGCTGGGATTCGTAATGGTAATCGGTAACTCGAGGGAAGATGGAATAGTGGAAACCACCGATGTGGTGGGAGCCGGATCCGTTGACTGAATCGGCAGATTGCTCGGTACTTCGAGCGGCGTCATAATAGGTTGATTCAGAGTCAGCGAAGTCTCCAGCACCGAGGGCGAAGATATCGGTTCTGTCGGTGGTATAATAGTTGACTGCAATATCGTCTGATTGATAAGACTGGTCTGAGTCAGACCAGTCTGGGTCATGACGCTACCTGCTTGGTTTTCTGGCAAACTGATCCCCTGCTGAAAGTCAGTGTTAGCGAGAGCAGCCGCCAGGATGTCTTGATTGGACGTTTGTATCACCTCTGACGAGGGGAAACTCTCGCTCACGATCGCCGTTTGACTAGTCTCTGTCACGCTGCTGCCGGTTTGAATGTTTGGCAAGACACTGTTGTCAAATTGAAGGACAATGTTGTCTAGAGCGCCCACCTCTCCCAGAGAACTGGGATCTATGTACAAGGTTCTCGTGCCGTCTGGATTCTGCGTAGTTCCTTCCAATGACATAAGAGCATTGTTATCGAGTGGTTGTATCTGTCCTTGTTCATCTATCGTCACCAATACGTAAGTTTGCGTGCCATCGCTGCTTTCTGTCGGTAGAGCCATGATCTGAGGCTGCGTGACCGTTTTTGTTTCACCCGCTTTTTCTGCACTTTCAGTTAGGAGTTTCTCGACTTTACCTTGCTCTTTCCGGGGGGCATCTAAGGCAAGCTGAAAATCCGTTTTTGTCTTCTTCTCCGATTCTAGTGAGGATAATGTAGTGGTATTACTCGCGGTGACACTTACGTTGGACGTGGTGGCGGTGGTCAACAGTTTTTTTTGCGTTTTACTCGAGGCCTGGGATCCTTTGACGGAGGAGGCTTTGGACATTGTGGGAGTTGTCTGTTTCGATTGAGCAACCGTCTTAGCGATCGGCGAGTTTACCACGGTGGTGGTGGTGGTGGTGGTGGTGGCGACAATCGTCGCGGTAGTCGCGATAACCGTTTGCTTCGTTTGAGCGCTTCGCACCGTTGTCGATTCTTGCATTTTCTGGACAACGATCTTTTGAGTTTTCAACTGGCGGCTACCAGCTCGAGGAATAATGACTTTTTGTACAGTTGACGACACGGCAGCTTTGCCCTTCGACTGCGGTACTTGCTGTGGCACCATTGTTACCGTTTGTTGCGTATCACTCGGCGAAACGACGCCTTGAATGGAGGCACCTGGTTGCGTTATTATTTGCTTAATGATCTTCTTGCTATGCGATATACTTTTTTGAGGTATTGCACCGGTGCTAGCGGTGCTTTGGAGAATCAACGTACTGCCCCCCGATGATGATTTCGCAGATGGCGACGCCTTTGCTTGTGAACCTGCAGCCGATGTCGGCGCTTTTGAAGACTTTTGCAATATCGGTAGCTGTACTTTTTGCTGTAACTGATATTGCACCTTGCCGCTTTTAACTGGACTCTTAGCAGCGATGGCTTTAACCTGCTGTCCGGTTATCGGCGTTAGAATAGTGCCTTTGTTACTGAGGACAGCCTGCGTGCCTAATATAGTTTTACCGGTGATGGTTTGAGACACTGGTGTCAAAATCGCTTTCGTGCCACTTAGACCTTGAGCTTGAGGACTCAAAAGAGTCGTGCCACCTTTCGTAACTAGAGTCTTCGAACCGATAATGGTTTTCCCGCTCAAAGACGAAGCGCTGATCGGTGTATAGATGCCGTCCTTGGTGAGAATTCCCTGGGACAACGTACCCAATAAAGCTGTTTTACCGATAGTACCTGAAATCGGAGTAAGCACGCCTTTAGACGTAATTATGCCCTGCGTATTGATGATCTTGTGACCACTGGTGGCCAATTTGGATGTGGTAGGCGAAACAGCAGCAGCAGCGACAGTATCAGCTTTTGGCGCGATGACAGTTTTAGTAGCGATTATACTACCTTGTGGATTAATCGGACACAGCAGATGACCCTTGCTCGTCATAATCTTTTGTACTTTGGCACTCAGAGTCTTGGAAATGTTCAACGGCACCATCTTAGTCTGACAAGACTGTCCCGACGTCAATATAACAACTTTTCCACCTTGTTGAATCACTTGCGCGTTACCTGCCGCTTTGCCACTTGCAGTTGAAATAGTAACTTTCTGTTGAGCGCCGGACTTACTTTGAACACTGTAACGCAGTTGTTGGCCACCTGCGGTTTGCACGACGACATATTTTCCTGGAGTAGTACCTTTCTGCGTCAAGAGGGTTGGCGTTTTACCAGCCGGTGGTTGAGCGCTTTGAAATTTCAAACCTTTTATCCCACCGGTGAGCGGCGGTATTAATGATTTAACGCTCGTGACGGTTGGTTTCGTTTTGCTCTTGGTCTTCAATATCGCTGGTACACCGCTCTTTTTCTTTGTCGGCGATGTTTCCGTTGTAATACTCTCGTTCGCGATCTTGAATTGAGTTTGTCGAGTAGGCGATACTATCTGCGTGGTCGGAGTAAAGGAGAGCGTGGTCGGGATCGAGCTGGAAGGTGGTATAATGGAAGATATAACAACGGGCATTTGTTCTATACTCTCTGGCGTTAACACGTCTTCGCTTAGAACAAATGGCATTGAGTTGATGTCCAGTTCTATGTCCGCGAGACTTTGAGTACTCTGTTGTACGTATTTCTCCGTTACCGGCGCAGTCACAATAGTCTGCAATGTAGCCTCGCCTTGTTCTTTACTCTGTGCCTCCAGAAGCGCGTCTGTTTCCTCTGTCTTTAATACTTGAAGCTTTTTAGTCAGACACATGTGCGGACTGGACTTTATAGCAGTTTTTACCTTGCTGTTCGATGGCAGTGTTTCTATTTTAATTATCTTTGCTTTGGGGCCGCCGCCACTTTTCTGATCGTTCTTCTTCGTAGCATCTACTTCCAGCAACCTGTGCTTCACACCTTTTTGCGGCGGTACTTTATCGAGTAACTTTGACTTTAAAATTTGCACTGGTTCAGTCAACGTTACACTCTCTATTATTCGTGGCATCTCACGTTTTTTTACTGGTACACTGATATCAGATGTAGATGAAGATAACGTGGCTACGGGCATCTTTGGGATTTCACCCAGTTTTTTCACATTGGTACTCGTATCGTTATTTTCAGAAACGGGAAATACCTTCGACTGAAGTAATGATTTGGATGTGATAGCAGGTTCGCTGGATGTCGTTTCAAGTTGAACGTTAGTTTCGAGGATAGCATCTCCAATTTTATCGATCTCAATCTTTTCTTCGATAATCACTTCGATATTTTCAAGATCACTCGCAATAGGTACGTTTTCTCTAGCTTGAATATCTGCAAGGATTTTGGAATCTTTGTTCAAATTGTCAATTTTTTTACTTTGCGCAGATATAGCAGCGACATTGACATCAATTTCTTCACCTTTTCTTTTAGCGGTTTTGCTCTCTTTTTTCTCCTTTGATGATACGTCAGCGTTGTCAACTGTCTTCTTCTTGTCCATTTGTAAAGTCTTCAGGAAAGCTTCCTGGAATATATTAGTCGATTTTTCTTCCAAGAATAAGTCTTTGTCTTTCCTTCCTTTACCTGTTTCTGGAGTAAATTTACCTTTGTATCTCGTTTGCATTGAAGATTTTTTGGGTGTCAATTGTTGCTCGATTAACGTTTTCGTTGGACTCTTTGGTGTATTTCTCGCATCGTCTGCTTTAGGTGACTTTCTCGGTGATTTCAATTTGAGCTGATTAACATCCTGTGTCTTTTGCGATACTTCCTCCATCAATTGCGTCTCTTCTTCCTTTACAACAGATTTAACTGTATTTTTCTGCAGTTCGGAACTTTTCAGATCTCTTTGCTGTTCATTTTCAATATTCAAAAATTTGCCAACTTCGTCTGCCGCTTTGCTCGACGTCGCTTTTATTTCATCTTCATTTACTTTTTCATTAATGTTACTTTGAGATTCAGATTGAGGCCCAAGTTCAATTTTTGGTTCAGATTCGATTCTACATTCAGACTCAAGTTCAGAGTTGGGCTCAGGCTCCGCTTTTTTATTAGATTGAATATCTGAATCAAAAAAGTCTATTTGTGACAATTCAAATTTTTTTATTTGCGATTTCTTCGGTGGTAGCATATCCACGTTCGTTTTCAGAGCATCTTGCTGTATTTCAATCTTATCGACATTATTGTCAGTTTGCTCTACGATCGATGACTTTTCGTGATCTTTAAAGTCTTCGTTATCTTTAGTTTGTTTCGATGAACCATCTTTTGTCTCCATTTCATATGATTCCTTCACAGCTTTGCCTACATCGAGTCCTTTTTCCGTTTCATTTATTGTCTCTAATTTCTGGAATGACGATGTCGTTTCTACATTTTCCGAATATACATCATCTATGTCAACTTTCTCAACAGCTACTTTGTCTAAAAATTTTACTTGTTCCCCAAGTACATCACATTTTATTTTTACAGATTTTCTTTCGTCTTTTTCTTCTTCTCTTTCTTCTTTTTCGGAAAAGGCCTCCTTTTTATTCTCGGGTACTTTGTTTTTTATATCGATCGATAAGATGCTGACATTATTCTCGGCAACAGTTGACGTTTGGTCAGATACTTCTATTTCTTGCTTGTCCATTTGAGTGACGAGTTCGTTGCTCCTCTTGTCACTTCCTTTAGAACGTCTGCCTCTTCTAGATTTGCTTGTGACTCTTTCAGAAGTCTTAGACTCACTTTCAGATTGACTCTCGTCAGTCCTGAACGCTTTATAATCAGGATCTTGAACGTATATATCGGATTCCAGGTATTTCTTGTTTGGTTTGCGCCTTCTACCGCTATACGAACGATCTGTATCAGAATCGGAAGTTTTTCGTTCAATTTCAATCCTTTCGCTCATACGAATTCTCTTGTTGCCTCTGTTAGCTTTCGTCTTTGAACTTTTATTCGCACTGGTACTCTCACTAATAGTCGATCTCGCGTTCTTACGTGGTCGGCCTCTTCCTCTTTTAACTAATACCTGCCCGATGCGATTTCCCGAGAGACTGCCAACACTTTGATCTAACATATCAGTATCTGAATTTTCACTTTGTTCTGGCACAGTTTCTGCAGATTCGGATACAGTCTCATCCTCCGTTTCTGTTGTAAATCGTTCCGACATAGTATCGTCCGCTTCTTTCATCGAAGCGTTGTCATTAGATTCGACGATCACGTCCTCGGAATCAGTTTTCTCAGACTGAGGTAAATTTTCATCGGTAGACTTGACATCGTCCTTTTCTGACATTTTATCTCTCTCTGCTGATACATTGGACGCAATCTTAGATGCAGCCTTTCCAATATCCTTTACATTCGAAGAATGATCATCGTCATCGTCTCTTCTCTTAACATGAAATATTTCCATAATTTTGTTTACTTCCGTTTGACAAGTTTTAATATTAGACTTCTGTTGATCATTTTCGGATTGCTTGGTTTTTTCTTCGTTTATATCTTCATCAGATTGGTTCAATTCTGTTTTACCTTGTACACTCTCATTGAGCTTTTCACTTACTTTGGTTTCCTTTTCTTGGCGATAGTCTCTACCTTGTATTATTTCGATTATGTCGTCAGTTTTTAATTCCATATTTTTACCCAATTCAGATATTTTGTTGGCTTCCTTCTTAATTTCATTTTTCAGAGCTTGACTCATTTCAAATTCTTTGATAATCTCTTTCTTCAAAGATAAATTCTTCTCGCCGAAAACTCGGGGAATCTTTCGTACAGGCGGTATAGAAGGTTCGCTTAAATCATCCTCGTCAAAATCGAAGCACGATAATCGTGACTTTTTGTCATCTTTATCCGAAGCGTGTTTGCTCTCATTATCAAAAGTATCCCTCTTTTGTGATTTATCTAACGTTTCAATCGATCTACCAATAATCTTCGTATCCTTTCCAGAATTTTCAAAATCGGATTTTTTGTCAAAACCAAATTGGATATTCCTTGAAGCATGCAAGCTATCCAATGAATCCTGCATCATGTATATCGAAGTTAACTGATCAGTTTCCTTAAGTAGTTTCTCCGTTTCTGCCAGAATTTCACTATTCCCCACAGATGCAACATCCTTGTCATCACCGTAGTGCTCCTTGCCATCATCGAAGCTCGACTGATTCTTTGTGGACAAGGAGTCAGTACTTAATCTATTATTTAGGGAATTATTTATATCAACATTTATTTCCTCATCTGATTCATCATCCCAATCGGCCAACAACTTTTCCCGCAATTCCGGATCGCTCTTCTTTTTCTTATTGGATTTCTCAGTCTGTTTCGAGTGTTTCCGTTTAACAGATTCCTGCCTATTCTCGGTCTTCTTCTTACTCGATGGACTCTTCTCTTTCTTCACGTACTTTCGTTTCGGTGTACTGGTTTCAGAAATCCTACCACGCGACTGAGAATACGTTTTCATATTCAATCGTGGCATTGGCGAGTCATCGGACCGGTGACTTTTTATATGACAAATGATGACGTTGACACGTGAAGAAGTGAAGTTACAGAAATGACAACGATATACCGGAGAACCTGCATTAGTTGGAGTCGACGGTAAACTATTGGGTTGTTGACGAATTCGGACCTCGTGATCGCTCTCCCCACGTAAAAAACGTGGATGTGTGATCTTCCTCGCAATCTCTGAACCATCGGCCGAGCGCCTATGTGCTTCTTCGCGATCGCGTTTTCTCTTTGGAATTTTCTTCTCACCAAACAGAGCGGAGATATCCGGTTTCTCTTCAGGACAAAATTTCTCCTGGTTCAATATATCAGGATCTCCTCCTGTTAACTTCTCTGCCATCTCCACATCACCTGGGAATTTGTCCATATAACTGGTGCCATCTTTACTCTTGATCCTGTATTTATCTATTCATGTAAAATAGAACTAATTATTTTAACACGTACAATTCAATTGCATGAAAATTTGTGTATGATTCATATACTTACCCATACCCTTTTTGATAAATTCATCTTTAAGCGTACAATTATACTTGTAGATCTGATGATAATTTTTGACAAATTCACTAAAAGAAAAATAATTTAAATCGTCACTTTAAACAATTCATCTTATATATCAAGAGATTATATACATACACTATACATAGTAGTAAGACTAAAATTTTTGCAACTTACTAGGTGTCTTCTTGAAAAAACTTTACTGCAGCTATCAATGGCTTCTTTTTCAATTCAGTTTGTATGTCTTCAGGTAAATTATCCAGCCCGATAACTCGACCAGGCCACCAACAAGCTCCTAATTTAACCCAAACGACATCTCCATCCAAATAATTGATTTCCGTTTGCTCACACATCTTGTATTACAAAGTATTTCATTCAATTCGTTTATAAAATTGACATTGGTAAATACCAAGAGAATTCTTTTAAAATCTATTTCTCTAGAGGAACATTAACAATTGTCCAAGATCGATATGCTATACAAAAAAAGGTTTCTATAAATTATGCAATCTTAATATACGATAAAAATATTTCGTGTGTAATTCCTGTTCAAGAGAATACCTTTATAACCGCATACAAGCAAATGCGTGCAAATGCTGTAGTTAATGCAACTCAGCATGAGATATTTCTCTTTAGAACGATAATTACTTATTTATCTCCAAACGAAGAAAGAATTATTGAATATATTACTATGTATAACACTGTACACATAATTGTCATCCATAAATTATTACGTGTCACGAGATTTCAAAGAACACTTAAAAGTTGTTACTACACGTCTGTTGAAACACTCGATGAAACGTTTCGATGCAACTGTTTCTCAAGCGAATGTCCCTCCGGAATCCCAAGCATGCTCGATGGCGACAATCATAAAAATAACACTGGTTCAGAATGGAACTCGTGTATCAGCGTGTAATCGGCGCAAACAGATCCACGGTGTGCTTGCGAGTAAGCCAAAATGTGTGACCCGACTGCGTGGTCTAGCTGCCTCGATGCTGACGTTGCTGACGGTAGCTACGTCGGGCATCTTAAGCCCGTGTGGCCGTGAGTCGCGTGATCAGCCTTCAATATTTTTCTTCCCACGCGCACCTTTACATCTGTTCATCAGGGAGACCGCCCGGCTAAATGTGACGTCGGAGACGCTCTCGCGTGTGTACAGTAAGAAAAGCGTGTCGGAGACGCTCTCGCGTGTGTACAGTAAGAAGAGCGTCTACAAGCATCCACGAGCGTCGTTCCAGGAACGCAACGATGAAAATCGTGAGCGGGAGAACGCGGGCGCGCGCGCGCGCTCACACACACACACACACACCCCCCACACACCCTCACTCTCGCTCGCTCTCACCGTCCTTGTCTCTCCTCTTTGTCCCTTTCTCGTTCGTTCTCACTCGCTCGCTTTTTCTCGCGGCACCTACAGCTCCGCCGTATCTCCGTCTCGTAACGCACACCGCTCGGATATCGCCAGATACACCTCGATACGCGATTTCGCACACATACGACCACGGAATGAAACAGGCCCCCCAAGCCTGTGCAGAATGTGCTTGGCAGCAACAACAACGTTACAGAAATGCTACGTCGTTCGCGCAACACGACGTACGTACATGTCGCCAGCGGTTACCCGACTTGCAACGGGGTCTCACCGTCTCACATCACACGATAGAGTGTAGATGGATGATGGCTAGCTGAAATTTCTCTCTTTCGATAGTGACGTCTAGTGACGTCTAGTGACGTCGTGCTCTGGGTGCCAAGTCTACCAACTGGCAGGATCAACGCCGCGCGCGCGCGCGCGTCTTTTGAGTTTCATGCCACATTTTCATTTTTCCTCTTTCGTGATGACAAATGCCTTTCTAAATCGCGTAATCCGGTGTAATTTATTTCTGATAGTTGGAATCTTATGTAGGATTCACCCTGCGTCCGACATCCGACATCCAATAGGAGAGCTTGTTTTCTAGATATATAGCTAACAATATTTTTGTTGCATTTAGAAAACAAGCTCTGCTATTGGACCGTCGGATGTCGGACGCAGGGTGAATCCTACATTAGGCTAGAGTCCTAGATATCAGAGAAGCGCAACCGGCTTAAGTCAGTATCGCAAAATTACTAAGAAAAGTAATAAAAATGGCGTCGTTTGCAGACGAAATATGAAATCCACCAATCGTCTATTAGTCAGCCATTTTGAATATCACTGAATGAATGTCATGATTGATTGACAGTCAGCTAATCAGGACGCGGAACATCGATTGCGCTTCTTCTAGGACTCTACATACATTGGCTGTTTTCCAGCTAGGACACAGAAACGTTACACTGTGCTCCACTGTGTAAAGACTTGTTGGAACGATAGAGCTCTAATTGGTAACACTGGCATACTCTACACGTTCGTACTTAGCTTTTTACAGTGTCGAGCAGTGTAACACTGTGTCACAGTTGGAACACTTTGTGTAAGACACAGTGTTACACTGTGTCATCTGTGTACGTTGTTGGAAAACACCCATTAATACGTCGGCTACGTTCCAAAACGTCGTTCTAGGCGGATGTCTCGCCTCGAGTATCATTTTTAGGAAGTAAGCGTTGCCGGCTTTAACTGTGCCTAACACGATCGGCCAAGTTGTATCAAAGTATAATAGTAGTAGCTTTTAATATAATATATATACCTTTGAGAATTACAAACAGATAGTTTTGTAATTCTCAAAAGTATAAACTACAAGACTGTTATATATTACATGAAATAAATATTTTTTTTGCATAAATATACTACTTTATTTATTCCCTACCTATTTATTTTTTGTTAAGAATTCTAAAGCATTAATTTTATTATTTGTATTTAAATTTAATTGTAATTAAAGTTTTTTAATCTTGTAATATTTTTTTATAAATTTTATATATATATTTTTAATATGTTAATTTTTCTATTTTTAATATAATTATTATATTTATAATACTTATTTGTTATTTTGTAAAAGACATTTACAACGTTTTTTTTTTACGTAAAAGTTATTATAGAAAATATTTAATAATAAATAATAATAAAAATAAAAATTGTAATTGATTCTACTTTAATTTTTATGAATTTGGATTTAAAGAAATTTGTGGGAATGGATGATAAATGTCGGATTGACCAATGAAAAACCGAGAAGAAAAGTGACTTATTAAAGAGTCTCTGCATGAAGAGAAACGGAACGAACTTGAGAAAGAAATGGAAGGAACGCACCCTAGGCGAGGGAAAATCATGATGGCGCTAATGCGACGATTTGCTTCCGGTGCATACGGCGCCGTTGAATTTTTCTCGGCGCCTTCCCGAGCGGCAGCACTGGGAAGCACTGGGAAACGACTGTGGGGCAGCACTGGGCACGACTGGGCAACACTACTCAAGTAGCACTGATTGCTGTTTTGCTGCGTTCAGCTGCGTTTTACGAAAGGCGAAACTGCGCGAACCGTGACGTGTTTGACGTTGCTTGCCTCGAGATCGACGCCGCTATCGTATTTTCTGCCAATTTCTCATCAAATCTTATCTCCGATTTGACGCCGGAAGTGCACGGGTCGACATCGTCGAGAGAGCGTTGTTACAGTCTCAGCTGTCCTACTACGTCTTGCTGCGTCTTGCTCGGCTGGAGCGTAGGAAAATGGCGACCGCTGTGCCGTCTCGATTCGCCGTCCTCAGCATTGAAGACGACGATTACAAGCCGAAGAAGACGCAGAAAAACGCGACGACGAACAAGAATAACGCTAAAAGCAAGGGCGATAAGTCGAAGCCGCAACAACAGCAACAACCGAGCAAAAAAAAGCAGAACAAAGTACGATGTGTATGCGTCTTCCGTTGCGTTTTTGTTTTTGATTAACCGGCGGAACATCAGCCGGATGTGACGGGATCACGGCGGCAAATCGCGATGTTTTAAATCTTTCGACGGGGATACGTATGTTGAGAGTACGTAATAGGTTTTTTTATTGTAGGGAAAAAAGAAGAAAACGAATAGTGATGACCAGCAGTGGGAACAGTGGAAGCAAAAGGATACGATGGTAAAATATATGATTTTTCACAGAATTATGTAAGATTTATTTATTATAAATGGTTCTTTTCTACCTTTATCATTCAAATTTGTCACGTCTGAATATTTTGCTTTAAAAAAAAGTATTTTTAACCTTTTTTCATTTTCTATTTGTTTAGTAAAACTAGTAGGATACATAATGAGAAACGTTTGAAATAATTTCAAGTCTGAAATTTTATTTTAGTATAGAAAGTCCCAGAAATAGTTTTAAATATTTTTCTGTTGAGTTCTGGTAATTGTATACTTATATAACTTAATCATCGTTTTACTATATCCAATTATAATTACCTTAAGGCTGTCGAAGAAACGTTTGAGCAAGAATTACACCAAGCCATCCTACTGTCGAAATTAGCATACGAAGAACAATTAGTTAGCGTAGCTAAAAATGACAAAGAACACGAACAGAATAAGAAATCTGGTAAAAAGTCAAAAAAGGCGACTATGTCATTAGAAGAATTTAATAGCATGGGAACAAGTACGACGATGGTACCAACAAATGAGCCTATAGACAAGTCAAGAGGTATTGTTTTGTTGTATAACTTGAGAATGAGTAGAAAGATTACATTATTAATGTAAAAAAAGACTTGATCTTTAACACTGTCTTTTATAGAAGTAGACGCGGAATTTTTCGAAAGGATAGAGAAGGAGACAAAAGAAGAAATAACAAAGGGAAAAGAAAAGGATATATTGAAGGCCAGATTAAATAAAATCGATGACGATATAACATTTGCGCAGTTAAGAGTAGAGATTGAGAAACGTGATGAAGTAATTAGCCAATTGAGAGCAGAGGTGCACATGTTGAAAGAAGAGCTGACACAAGTTAAAGAGAGAAATAAAAAACTTTATCAAATATTGTCACATGGTGAAAGTAAGTATCATATAATATTTTTAATGCATTAGATATATGTAAAGTTTTTGTTATTTGTAATTATCTTTTTGTTTCAGTGAAGGATAAAGCGTCAGTATTGGCTGAAGTTGCAAAACTACAAGAGATACGAGATGAACTGACATCCGAGGTAGCTTCTTTACATGCTCAACTGGAGCAAGAAAGATCTAAAACACGTACATCAAGTGTAGATGTAAAAACATCTAAACAAACTGTACGTACGCGATTGTTTCATCGATTTTTCTTTAAATTTATTTCGACAATTTTATACATACTGCATCTTGTATTTTTCAGAACAAGAAGAGGCCGGCCAGTGAAAATGCCTAAATCGTTTTTCACGAAAAATTACTATTGTGATCAATTAATTTTAATTAACGATACATATTGATTAAGTAGCAATTTAAGAAGGAACATTATATTTTCAAAGAGATGTTCATTTCTTAGTGCATATACAACA